ATATACTGATTATACAGTATATATTTTATATAGTTGTTTTGATAAGCCTTTGCATCTTGGGTTTTTGTTGTTTTATATATTTTTTCATATATAGACATACATATTGAAACACTGAGGTTACTCTTGGTTACTCTTGAGTTCCTGGGGACCTCATAAGACCAGGATTGAAGACGCCTCGGGCAGAGGCCTATACTCGTCACTGGAAAATTCCCTGTACAACTTCCCGCTTCTCAAAAACATTAAAATTTGTACTTCTTCATTTGTTAACTAGCCCATCAGACTCTCAACCAAAAGTGCATTTGCGGCTTCCGCACATTTCTTGTGCTGCTGGATTCTGACGCTAGTTCCACTGCTATGCCATGGCGCTCTTTCTAGTCATGACATTGTGTTTACCAATGACCAGGTTTGTGTCTCTCCTGCTTCTGGCACAATCCTTGACAGCACGGATGTCAAATAGCACTCATTTCACATCCACAGTCAGACTTTTCACTCCATGCAGACGTGTCCACCTGCCCCTCTGAAGAGTACTCAGTGGACCTGAACCCTTGAAAGGAGATACAGTGAGGAAGTAGAGAAAAACTCAAGTCATAATCCTTAATTCTAACTCCAAAGCTCATTAGGCCACGCACACGCACACACACACACACACACACACACACACACACACACACACACACCTCTCTCTCTCTCTCTCTCTCTCTCTCTCTCTCTCTCTCTCAAATCAGATCACCCTCCTCTGCCAGCTCTGCTCTCTACCTGCTCTGTGGGTCTCTGGTCTCTGTCTCCTACAGAGATAACAGGAATTTGTAAACAAATGTGTTTCTTTATCTCTGCCCCTGGGAACAAACAACTCTGATGCTCACCAGGGAAGGCTTTGAGCTACAGCCAGGCTCCCCATCACCTGAGAAGGCGTTATTACAGTAAGGGGTTTCTGGCTTTCTGGCTTGTTTCTTTATCACTCTGGCTGGAGTGCTCTCATTCTCTCTCTCTCTGTCTCTTTCTTACTCTCTCTCTCCCATCTCTCTCTCTCTTTCTCCTTTCTCTCTCTCCCTTTCTCTTTCTTTCACTGTTTCTCCCTCTTTCTCCCTCTCTCTCTTTCCCTTTCTCTCTCCCTCTTTATCTCTCTCTCCCTTTCTCCCTCTCCTCCCCCTCTCGATCTCTCTCCCTCCCTCTCTCCATCTCTCTCCTTCTCTCTCCTCTCTCCTTTTTCTTTCTCTTTCCCTCTCTCTTTCTCTCCTCTTTCTCCCTCCCTTCTCTCTGTCTCGCTCCCTCTTTCTCTCCCTCTCTCCTCTTTCTCTCTCCCCCTTTCAGCTCCCACCACCATCCCATGCTGTCCATGGCATCTCTCTCTCATACTCTCACTCTAAGCTAACTCCTAATGCTTTATATTGTCTATAACACTCCCATCCCATGGCCCCATCTGCTGTCTCTAGTGTGACCGTTCTATCCTTTCTTATGTTTTCCCACCTCAAGGCCCAGCCACAACCACAGCTCCCATGGTCATAAGATGTTTTCTCTCCTCTCCGGGTTTTTTGTTAGTTTTGTTTTTTGTTTTTTAGTAATTTGATGCCAGCTCCTTTCCTGAACCACCACTATTCTCTTTAACAATATCATATTTAACCAACTTTAACATTGGCCTCAAAGAACTCTAGGAAATGACACCTTCACAGAAAGTCAGTTGTACCTTAGCCAGAGTAGGAAAGCCCAGGGTAGGGGGACAATGCTATTTTCAAGAAGGGATTCAGGGTCTGCGCTGGCCGCCAGCCGGCCTCAGCAACCCGCGCAGCCCAAGATGAACTACATGCCCGGCACCTCCAGCCTCATTGAGGACATTGACAAAAAACACTTGGTCCTGCTTCGAGATGGACGGACACTTACTGGCTTTTTAAGAAGCACTGATCAGTTTGCTAACTTAGTGCTGCATCAGACTGTGGAGCATATTCTTGTGGGCAAAAAATACGGGGATATTCCTGGAGGGATCTTCGTGGTTAGAGGGGAAAATGGTGGTCCTGCTAGGAGAAATATGATGATGCACAGCCTTCCGCTGGAGGCATTTAAGGCACCAAGTACGATTCAGGTCACAGCTGCGGGACCCAGAGGTGGACCTTAAGAGGCTCAGGCCATCCTTGAGAGCAGTGACAAGAGCAGCACGGCCACATCTGCAGGGAAGCAGCTACTCGCCACATTTAAGCTGGGAGCTGGGAGCTCCTACAAACACATGCGCAACATGAAAGGGCTGAGGCACCGAGCTGTGCTGGCCATTGGGCAGGAACTGAACCGGGGAACACTGGGAGACACCAGTCCTGCATGGATCAGCCATCCACTCTCTGCTTGGTTCTCGGGTGGGAGAGACGCTCTATAGCGACCAGGAGCTGTCCTATATCCAGCAGGGAGAGGTGTCGATGCAGAAGGTGCTGGGCAGCCTCAGCAATCAGGAGGGCTGGAAGAAGAAGAACCAGCAGGGGGATCGGGATGAAGAACTAAGTAAGGTAGTCCCAGATGTGGGCAAGGTATTCCGCTTGGAGGTGGTGGTAGACCAGCCCATGGGCAGACTCTATGAAGAACTTGTTGAATGCATGGCAGCAATGGGAGAGTGGAACCCAAATGTCAAGGAGATCAAGGTCCTACAGAAAATTGGAAAAGATACAGTCATCACTCATGGGCTGGCTGCAGCAGCAGCGGGAAACCTGGTGGGGCCCCATGACTTCGTGAGTGTGCGTTGTACCAAGCGCCCCGAGGTTCCACCTGTGTGTTGGCAGGCATGGCCACGCATTTTGGGGAGATGCCAGAGCAAAAAGGTATCATCGGAGCTGAGCATGGTCCCACTTGCATGGTGCTTCATCCACTGGCTGGAAATCCCTCAAAGACTAAACTCACTTGGCTGCTCGGTATTGACCTCAAGGGGTGGTTGCCAAAAACCATCATCAACCAGGTGTTATCACAGACCCAGATGGATTTTGCCAACTACCTGCGCAAGCCACTGGAGTCCAGCCCTGCCTTGGAAGCTCAGTGTTAGGCCAACCTGCTATTCCTGACTGTACCTGCTACATGGGCTTGCATGCTGCCAGCAAATTCCTGCAGGAGGCCTGCAAGTCTGTTTAAGATCTTCATCGCTGACAATGGGAGGGTTGCAGTCAAAAGACACTAGGACCGACTGGTAAAAAGTTTAATGCCAAGAAAATAGAGATAAGGCCCTCAGAGGAAGAGACTTCCAATTTCCCTCACTGTTAAAGTTTTTTGGGCCCTTACACTTACATAGCAACCTAAAGAAGCCTGTTAAAAATGCTAGTGGCACACCTGACATGGTGGCACACCTTTAATCCCAGCCCTCAGGGGGCAGAGGCAGGTGAACCTCTGAGTTCCAGGCTAGCCTGGGCTACATAGTGAGACCTTGTCTTTAAAAACATAAAAGGCTAGTGGCTGACATGACAAGCCCTGAGGACTGTTGCCTAAAATGCCATTGCCTAAAGGCAATGTGTACAAAGCAGGGTCTTACCTAGAATGTGACTTTCTGCCCCTCTGCAGATGGCCCAGGTCTATACCAAGAACAAGCACAAGAGAGACCATCCCGAGTGTATATTCCAAGTTTTCTCTAAGAAGAAATATAAAACTAGTTATTACACTGGCTTTCTTACTGATTCCATCAGCACCAGTCAGAATAAAGAATCATCAGACAAAAAAAAAAGAAAAGAAAAGAAAAGGGGATTCACAATACGTGGAAGGAAACATTCGAATGTTCTTAGCATTTTGCAAGCCCTCTGTGCACTTCTTACTTGGGGAGGGAGCCACTCATCAGACTACATGTTACTCAGCTCTGTGATTGTCTACCATCCTGCTAATGTCCAGGGAAGATGGAGTAGACTTGGCTGCATCCTTTCATTCTACTGAACAACTGACAATACTCCTCACAGTGTTCTTCTCAAACATTATCCAGTGTTTTCTAATTTACAGTCAAGCTCCCCCCACCCCTTCCAAAAAGAACCATCGATAGTTTACTTTTTAACACTTGCTATTTCAAAGTTATCTTTGTCCATCTACATTACAGTAAAACAGAAAAAATCAAAACAATCACTTAAAATAATCAGAAAACACATTTATTAGTCAGGAGAGGCCAAGATACACAGTTATAACAAAAACCCAAGCTGCGAAGTCTTATCAAAACAACAGCTTATTTTCAATCATGTACATCCCTCTGCTGATCCAGGGAGCTCTCTCTGGTCATCCATCCTCCTATGGCTTGTCCCATAGACTGAGAGGCTATACTTCAGCAGTCACCTCAGCAGGGGATGCAAGAGTATTGCAAGGTCTCAGAGTTAATCAAACACTTGGTTGAGAAGTGTGCCACCTACTTCCTCTCATTGCATTCAGACTTAAACTACCCCATGGCTTATGAATGGAATCATAACAGGCGTGGGAGAGCACAAGGCAGCACTGCCACACATAGAACATGAAATTGTGTATAAACGAGACAATGGCACTCTCACTCAGAATTGAGGCATCTTTAACAGCACTAGCCAATGGAAACACAGTTGGCCATCTATAGGATCCACCTCCATGAATTCAACCAACAGTGGGTTGAAACTATCTTTTTAAAAATATTTTATTATTTTTATTTTATATGTATGCGTGTGTTACCTGCATGTAGGTAAGTGCACCTGTGTCATGCAATGCCTGTGAAGGACAGAAGAGACTGTCAGATCCCCTGGAACTGGAGTTACAGACAGTTGTTAGCTGTCATGTGGGTACTGGAATTCAAACCCAGGTTTTCTGCAAGAATAACCAATGTTCTTAACCACTGAGCCATCTCTCCAGCCCTGAAACTATCTTTTAAAAACCTGTATCTGTATCAAACAAACACTTTCCCCCCCAAACAACTGTTTGCTTAGCATGGACATTGTGTTAAGTACTGTAAGCAACATGGAGATGACTGAAAATCTATGGGAGAAAACTGAGCTTCACAAAGCAGGTCCCCATGGATACCAAGGAACAGCCATATGTTGCCATAATGAGAGCCATGTATATAATTTTAAGTATCCCACATTAAAGTGTAAAAATAAATGAGTAGTGAATTGAATAATTCAAATATATTTGTACAAATGTACAATTATTACAAATTAACATATTGTCCTGCAATCACATCTTAATAATCAAATATTTCCAGTCGTTTTTTCAACTAAATCTTCAGTATATGCCTAAAACACCTATTAATTCGAGCTAGCCACATTTCAGTTCTTTGGTAGCTACATGTAGCTGCTGGGACAGTCTGAGCCCTAGAGGAACTTGTGGTAGTGTTCACAGAGCAAGGGGTTTGCCAGATATTTCATAGGCAAATGTTTTTCATTTTTCAATTTAGGTCGCTACAGTGACCTTAAGATTAAATATAAAGTATAACTACGAAAAACATGGCTAGCATCATAATTTGTGCTGAGTCTGTGTGCTTTCCCTCTGACATGTGAAACAAAGTAAGGATGTCTACTGTCATCACTTTTGGAGGTTGTAGTCAGTGCAGTAAAGCATGAAAATGAAATGATGCAACTTAGATTTGAAAGGGAGACTCCAAAATACTGCTTACAACACTATGCGTGTAAAAACATAGAGAAATATGCAAAATAAGGCCTTAGAACTAGAACATGAAAAATTGCATAATCACTTTGAAGGGCTGCCAAGAGGTTTTTTTTTTCTTTTTTAAACGTTTTTTATTGAATTTTTTTTATTTTCATACAATATAATTTGATGGTATTCGGATCTCTCCCGTATCTACACCTCCCCTTATTGCTCCCACCCACTTTAATGTACTATATTATATACTACATATAATAAGACCTATAGAGTCTAATTTATTTCCCCAAATGTCCTTCAGTGTGGGTTCATCCAGTGGAGCCTGGTTAACCTACCAAGAGCTCTGTCCTTGAAAGAGACTGTCTCACCCCCTCCAAGCAGGGACTGGTTGCCAAAATTTCTTTAGGTTGGGTTGGAGTTTCTTACCCAGTTCCCCATGTGTATGCTGGGAGTTTATCTGGTTTGAGCTTACATTGGATTTGTGCACTGTCACCATTGCTGGGAGTTCATATGAGTAACTGACCAGCTGCCTGGAAAACTGTTTCCTTGTGATCATTCACTACCTATTGCTCTTACAACCTTTCCACCCCCTTGAGGAACTGCAAGAGTTATAAAAGTTTCTTTGAATGTTTTATGTCTTCCATACTACACTATTATTTTTATCCTAGGTATTGATCTAAAGATATGAAGGCATATGTCTATATAAAGACTTATACGCCGGGCGTAGTGGCACATGCCTTTAATTTCAGCACTTGGGAGGCAGAGGCAGGTAGATCTCTGTGAGTTCAAGGCCAGCCTGGTCTACATAGTGAGTTCCAGGACAGTTGGGGCTACAGGGAGACAGTGTCTCAAAAAGACCAAAAAAGAAAAAAAAAAAGACATATGTAAATATCCATGGAAATTTTATTTTTAAGAATACTGTGGTGGTTTGAACGAGAAATATCCCCCATAGGCTCATGCATTTGAGCACTTGGTTCCCAGCTGGTGGTGCTGTCTGGGAAGGTTATGGAACCTTTAGGAGGTACAGCCTTGCTGGAGAAAGGGGTGGCCCTTGAGAGGTTATAGCCTCCCCTTATTTTCAGTTCTCTCTCTGCTTCCTACATGTGGGTGGAAATGTGATCAGCCAGCTTCCTGCTCAGGATCCTGCTGCAGTACCTTCCTCTCCATTATGGACTCCCCTCCGGAGCTATAAACCCAAATAAACTCTTTCTTACATAAATTGCTTTTGGTAATGATGTTTTACCATAGCAACAAAAAATAGCTACTACAAGGTCTGAACTGGAGAAAACTTTTAAAATTTTTAAATTTTAAAAAATTGAATGGAAAAATTGTGGTCTATCAATTAAAATAAATATATTCTTAGTACTTGCTGCATTATGGATTAATTCCAATACAATTATCTTGAGTGAAAACAGCCAGGTAAAAATGAGTATATTCTAAATGATTTCATTTATGTGAAATTCTAGAAAATGTTAAAAAGGGGTAAATAAAATATTCACTGCCACACAGCTTGAGCCTATTTTCAAAACAAAGTCTAATCCCAAACCCCACTCCTTTTCACTGTCTCCCCACAAAGAACTTTAGAAAAGACAAGTAACTAATTATGCTATTTAATGCACAGTGATTTACCGTCTCAAAATCTCCTGATGTTTCCTCATTTAATCTCCTCTATAAATAGTAGTTATTAACCGAATTAGTACTTCATTCCGCATTTCAAAAAGTCAATAATTGTTTAGCTGTTTCCACTTTCCATTTTTTGGGTAAGAGACACAGCAGAAAGAGGACAGGGAAAGTAGGCCAGTGCCCTGGGTGGGCCAGGCACTTGTGTCACTGCTCTGAAACTCAGTGACTCCAAACAATCAGGTCACTGGATGGATGGTCCATGACATTTCACTGAAGATGGTCCATTGTCTTGACTTGATGGTATTATGACTTATGGTGATAGGAAAGCCACATACATTCAGATGACATATGACTTTAATTTTGACCTTTTCCCATGCTGGTATATGGAATCTGAGTCTTTCTCAAGATGCTGAACTTGCTGTGGCAGCAAGTAATAGCTCCTCATTAGAACCCTTGGCCAGGAAAGGAAAGCATCAATGATCCACAGTGTTATTCAGCTAGGATGTTAGTAGGTTGAGGTTGTTAAATATGATTTTGACTTGTGGTATCTTCAACTTATGATGGTTTATCAGGCTCAGACATCATTGTAAGTCTAGAAGAACCACTAGCTCATAGTTCTGTGGATTAGAAATTCAAAGACAGCTTTCCAACAGTACTACTGGAGGCCACTCAGGGGTGGGTGAGCTAGTCTGGAGGACTCAAGGTTGCTCTGGCAAGGAAGGCTAGGAGGCTGTCTCTCCTGAGACATGAGGGCTCTGCAACATGCCACTTCAGTCACCTGAATTACTTTAGGACAATTCAAGAACCCAAGAGCAGCCTGTGATACTAACATAT